AATTTTAAGTGTTATACATGCAATGATTTAAATAAAGAATTTGATATTTTGTAATTATTGTGTCTGTTTTAATTGAATGCCAGTAGTACATACAGTATGTAGGATAAAAATAAAATGAATTATATATAAAAAATTATAAAATCAAATGAAATCTATATTACAATAAATGAACTACAGTAGCATACTGATGAATTGGATTTTTTATAGGAATTTACTGTAAAACGGTACAGTTTGCTACTGTAAATCAAATACAGTTTGCTACTGTAAATCTTAATTACAGTAACTTACTGGCAACAGTGTAAGTTACTGTAAAAACCCTTTGAAATGTCTAACAGTGAAGATATGGGGCAAAAATGCCCGTTTGAGTTTTTGTCTCATATTTACATCATAAAGTCAAGCAATATCACAGGAGCAATAGGCTAAGTGCAATATCACATGAGTGCAAATGTGATACTGATCTTATACAACAGTTCAGTAAGTAAGAAGTTAATATTGTGTTATTTTAGACACAATGTTGTCTGATTTGCTCAATTTTGACAACGAAAAAATAAAGACAAAGCAGAACTGTTTGTCTCCGAGCAAAACACAGCGGCATTTCATTTCGTAATGCACGTTTTGAACGAATTGGGTGAACCATTTGGCGCGTTGAAACATTGGCCAAAGGCGCGTTGGATTTGAAGCGGCGCTGCACAGACCGATCGGTGTATGACATCAAAGGACCGCGAGAGCGATTCAAAAGAGTCGTCTGCTCTCTATAGCCCTTGCGGTACTTTGATGTCACACACCGATCGATTTGATGGTGATGATCCGCTTCAAGTCGAATAAGCCTAATCATTCAATGGACCATTCATAAAGAACTATTTACTTAATTAAAGAATTTTATTTTGGATGCGATTAATCGTTTGACAGCACTAATATATATATATACTGTATATATATATATATATATATCATATAATAAACTATCATAAAGATATTACTAACATATGTACAGTACATTTACTAATTTTTCTATGGGGATTTTATACTGTATATGTTATAAAACTAATCTTCATCTACCCTGAGAATGTAAAAATTATATATTGCTTTATAGGTAACATGGCAGCGTAATGGGGGGAGATCAGGACAATTTCAAGGACCCTGATCGGAAAGGAGACACAGACTGTGATTGTGATTTCACTCAAACAATATACTATCTAGAAGGTCAAGAAAACCAAGTGTGAAAGGTGCTTCAGAAAGGATAATCTCTATTTACGACAACAGACAATGTACCTTTTTACTGCAATTTTGCTAATGTGACTTTGAATGCACATGAACGGACTTTAATAGTGGGTGAAAAAACCCCAGCTATAGGCCTATATGTGGAGGTTTACTGTAATGCTGTCCATGCATTGACTTTCAAAGTTGTCAGATTGCCGTTATTTTAACACTACAAAACTGTATGTCGTTGCCAATGTCAGTTTGAGTCAAAACACTTTTCACACTGCAGGACTTGGATCACAGGCTGATCTAGATATGAACCTGCTAAATATCTCTCGGGCATTTGTGACTCATTAGCACTTCTCTCAGATTGTGTCTTTTAAAATTCACACAGTGATCATCACTCACGTAAATGAGCACTGATTTACCTCCGATTTCGTGCTTTTGTCAGCGTTCTCGGTTAATTGTTTCCAAATGGGAAATCAGGGCTAAAATCACGTATTGTGTGCCCGGCAAAAGGCCCCTTTCAGCCCTATAGCTTTAAAATAATAATAAAAATAATAAAACACCCTCAGGTGTTAGTTTAGCTTCATCCAGCACTAGCACTATTGCCTGGAAGTTTCTAATGAGTCTGAAGAACTTGATTAGCAGGTTCAGGTGTGTTTAATTAGGGTTCAGGCTAAATTCTGCAGGACAGTTGACCTACAGGAGAAAGTTTGGACACCCCTGCTCTAAGTTTTAATTTTAATTTGTTCTCTAACAATTAAACATGTAATAGCATTGTGTGTTTTGTTTAATAGCATTTTGTGAAGGAAATGACAGTGGTGGAAATTACATTTTTGAAATAAAATGGATGAATACTTTGTATAAGGCTAATTTTGTAGCTAACAATTTATGTATCCTAAATACACATAATTAAATAATATTTTCCCATTTTTCCCATTATTTGACTAAATTAAAGCTTGATTGGAATGATGCACAGTAAATATATTCTGTTTACAAGTGATAATTGCATGCTTTTTCTTTTTTCTTTCTTTTTTCCTTCTTTTTTTGCTACCTCATTTGTTATTTATCATCTCACACTTTTCACTGATACTCACTGGTATACAGAAGAAAACTTAAATGAGTCAGAATTGTTTGGTGTAGCAGATATGTCACCATATAGCTGTGGGACAGCTATAATTTTTGAAGAATTTATACAAATAATTTTCATGTAATGAATACTGAAATTGTTTAATTGACTATAGATTATCATAGTTTTAAATGCCATAGGCATGTGGTAGTGGAGGGTAGTAAAGTCAAAGAGCAGATTTATGATGGGTCTGTCTTACACGATCTCAATCTTGCCATCCTAGAAGACCCGCCAGGATATTTTCATAAACACAATTAAGCTGAATCAGTAAAGCATCATTTTGCATGTCAATCACAGCATGTTTGCATCATGACCGAGACACAAAGGCTGCTGAGATGAGATTGTACAGTTAGGAGCTGTTAGACTCAAAGTGACATGGCAGGTTGAGCACTTACGTCTGCTGTGCAGTGTCACTTTGAGAATTTTATCGACCGGGATGTCAGGGGAGAAGATAGCCACTCACTGCTCTTACTAAAATGGATGCTGTTAGTCAGCTACCAGAACTATGTCGCCATGGCATGTACACTTGGGGGTGAAGGACACTGATAAATAGCATAAATGAGAAATACATATTGCTTTTAATGTGTCAATACATATATTCCAATTACACTGTGTCAAAGTGTGCATGCAGGTGCATCTTGTTTTCTTTCCACCCTGGGCTTGATGGCAATGAAAATGCTTAAAACTAGATAACTCTTCTGCAGGTTGCCACTTAAAAAGCCACCTCAGGTTAAGAGATGGCTCTTCAAATGCTTTCACAAATGGCAACACAGGTGACAACATGGTATACGACTGTATTTCATGTTTTTACAAGGAAATACTTTCAGATTATGAGCACTACAGAGACTCTAGACATAAACAGATAAAGCAGATACTCATTTGTTTTATCCAGGCAATTATATTAAAATCTATATAATGCACTGAAACTATAGAATTAGAATCAATTTGAAAAATGCAGCATAATCTGTAAAGTCAACCCCTAAGAATGTATAGGATCTTATGGTTTGTAAGCCTGTACAATATATCAGGGTTAATGGAGACTTAACAACACATTTATGCTTGCAGTTAAAGTGCTGTCAAGTGTAGAATATGTAGGGCTTTAGATCTGTGGAAAGATGGACCAGTGGTGGTTGGATGCAGTGCTCAAGATTCACTGCAGTGATTTTCACCAGTGACATCTCATATTGTTCTAGGAATAGCAAGCTGAAATACAGTAGCTCATCAGGTCAGCCTTGAACATCTCTGCCATCAAGTGGTCAAACTGCACTACACATTTAAGGCATTATTCAGACTCCAGGTAATATTGAATTATTATGGATGTGGATTTTAATAAGATGTTTACAATGTTTTAATAACTGTACGAGTTTTTTTTATTTTTATGTTTTTATTTAAAGAATGTTGTAAGTTTCTGTACAATAGCCGGTCCCGGTCTTCAAATCTGTGCGTTCACGCTATGTCGTACTGTAATTATTATGACATTTCGAGCTCCGTTTTGTCATTACGGAAGTTTCAACGTGATGTGAACGCATAGTCCATCGATTGTATCACTCAGCTTATCCGTGTTTACGAGCTCCAGGTAGACAGACTGCAACAAGTGTCTTTATGAGTAACTGAGTGATTAAAACGATTCGCTTAAAACGCCACGGAACGAAACGCCACTTGTGTGTTTCTCTCAGTTGACTTCATTTGGAACTATTTTCATTGGCGGAACAAAGTAGATAGCCCTAAGACAACTGGCAATATGAGTTTAAAATAGAAGTTACTAAATATGAACTTCTTATATATTGAAAGGGTGTATAGATCTGTAGGCTACCACACAATCATGCTTTGGCAACGTTTTTTCTTCCAAATTGTATTGGTTATATAATATTTTGTTTTGTTTTATTAACATTGAGCGCAGTGTGGTGTTAAATGCAAATCTAGACAGAGCTTTGAAGGATCATTTGACTTTTTGTCAATAGGCTTTCTGGAAAAAAGTTACAGCAGGAGTTCACTTTTTCACACGTCTGTTTATATCAGTATGTTGTTTCCTTGTGAGAAATTGTTTCCTCACCTCATGAATAGTATACATTGTTGTGTTGGACATGTAGGCTACAAGCTTCGGCATATCCACTGGTTTAAAGATCTGAAAGATGTTTTAATTATATCCAGGTCCAAAGTATTGCTTCACATTTTAGTGTTTCTAGTGTTACGTTCTCCATCTCACAAACCTGTCGATTCACTGATAGTTGTTATAAAAACGTGGTTGCTTTTCTTGTATTATTTGCAAAGGAACAAATTTGGCTTCAGAAAGAGGTAAACACTTCTCTTTCTTTCTTTTTTTTCAACTGAAAGAGTGTTACTGGATTGCTGAGCTCACAGCAAAGCGATGGACTTTCTAAAGCAATCATCCAAACAACTCTTCTGA